TGTCCCTCCAAAACCTCCTCACCACCGCCGCCCGTCCCCTCCCCCCAATCCACGACCCCAACTTCGCCTCCCACTTCGACAGCTTCGCCAACTACCGCGTCGTCCTCCTCGGCGACGGCAGCCACGGCACCTCTGAATTCTACGCCGCCCGCGCCGAGATCACCAAGCGCCTAATCGAGCACCACGGCTTCACCACCGTCGCCGTCGAAGCCGACTGGCCCGATGCCGAAGCCATCGACCGCTACGTGCGCCAACGCCCCGGGCCCCAAGCCCACCTCACCAATGACAAGCACGAGCCTTTCCAGCGCTTTCCAACCTGGATGTGGCGCAATCGCGAAATGCAAGACCTAGTCGAGTGGATGCGTGACCACAATGCCAACCTACCGGATCATCAAAAGGCTGGATTCTACGGTCTTGATCTGTACAGCATGGGCGCTTCCATCCGCGCCGTCGTAGATTACCTCGACCGCGTGGACCCAGAGGCAGGAAAGCTGGCGCGTCGTCGCTATGGTTGTTTACAACCGTGGGTGGATGATCCGACGGCTTACGGGCTCGCGTCGCTGCGCGGGTTGGCAGACTGCGAAAAAGGCGTTGTGGACATGCTGCGCGATCTGCTGCGAAAGCGACTGCAGTATGCGGAGGAGGATCCGCATGACGGCGAAGAGTCGCATAGCAGTCAGCAGAATGCGTATTTGGTGCGTGACGCGGAGAGATACTACAAGGCTATGTATTATAGCTCTGCGTCGTCGTGGACCCTGCGTGATACGCACATGGTGGATACGCTGCGGCGCATTCTTCGTCATAAGCCGCCAGGCAGTAAGGCCGTGGTGTGGGCGCATAATTCGCATTGCGGCGATGCGCGATACACGGGCATGGGTATCCGGCGCAATGAGGTGAATATCGGGCAGTTGTGTCGTGAGCAGTTCGGTCGGGATAAGGTTGCTCTGATCGGCTGTGGCACGCATACCGGGACTGTGGCGGCTGCGCATGAGTGGGATGAAGACATGGAGATTATGAAGGTGAAGCCGTCGAGACCGGATAGTTGGGAGTGGCTGGCACATCAGACGGGCATTGAGAGCTTCTTGTTGGATTTGAGGCCTACGAAAATGAGTCCGGAGATGAGGGACTTGATGGCGGCGGAGGATCAGCGCTTGGAACGCTTCATCGGCGTCATATATCGGCCTGATACTGAGCGCATGTCACATTACTCGCAGGCTGATCTGCAGAACCAGTTCGATGCGTATGTCTGGTTTGATAGCACCGAGGCTGTTAAGCCGTTGGAGACGGTGCAGCCGCGGACGGCGATGGGGACGGAGGAGACGTATCCGTTTGGGTTGTAGAGTAGATTGTAATGTATTGGTAGAATGTGTAATGAGTAAAAGTAAATAGTGTTTCAAAATAATGATGATGGACGTCGATAACTAACTATAGTTAATGAAGGGATAATGCATAACTAACTAGCACAACGCGCTTAGCTAAGCCCTGACGTCAGCTCACCGCCTGCGGGTGTTTGTTTATTCTTGGATCTCGCCTTCGCCCTGCATTCATTTAATTCATAATCCATCCCCCCACACAATTCCAATTCTTCGACATCTCGATACCCAATTCCAACGTCACCCGATATACATTGACCACCACCATGGCGGTTCGACGGTCCGCCCGCCTGCGCAGCCGCCAGGCCACCGAGGTGAGCACACCACACCATCCCACTCAGCCTCCATTCCGATGGGCTGCTCGCGCCCTTGCATGACATTCACTGACTCGACCTTAAGGAGCCTGAGGCCCCTGCCGACCCCGTCGTCACTGACAACAACGCCCCCTGCGACACGAACAATCACAACAACTCCGAGAACACGTCCGAAATCGACACAACCATGGCTCGTCTCGGCAAACAGCCGGAGAGATTGCCTCCCGTCGTGGAGCACGAGGAGCCAGCTGATGCTGCTAAGGATGTCCCCGTGCAGCGGTCGCGGAAGAAGACCAAGACTGAGACCGCGTCTAAGAGAAGGTCCAAGATTGAAGCTAAAGAGCCTGTTGCTGAGGTGACTCCGGTGATCGCTGAGTCTCAGTCCAACACGGATACGACTGAACCTGCCGTTGCTGAGACAGAAAAGAAGCCTACTCCCAAGGCTGTGCCTGAACCTGCTGTTGCTGAGACCGAAAAGAACCCTAATCCAAAGGCTATACCTGAAACTGCCTCCAAGCTATCGACTCCTAAGAAATCTATCCCAACTCTCAAGGGCACACCTGTCCACAGAAACACGCCCGTCCACAAAAGCACACCCACCAGAACCCCCTCCAGCACCCTCGTGCGCCCGTCCCACCAAGAAATGCACCCCAGCAAGGTCCGCCAGAGCACCACCAAGCAGGCAGACTCCGGTTTGATCCTGGGCTTCAAGCCCATCAAGAAGGACGCCGAAGGCAAGGTGATCAAGGACACTCTCGCCGACAACACTCCTACCAAAGCCAAGGCCTCACCCGCTCCTTATTACGGCACCCCCGCGTTCGAATTCAAGTTTTCCTGCGAATCGCAGCTCAGTGACGAGGCCAAGAAGCTCATGGAGACCGTGCGCGAGGATGCTGCTAAGATCAAAGCCCAGATGACATTGGAGCCCGACCAGAATCGCGCCGAGGCAGCGGACCGGAAGATCGTACAGCCCAAAGGCAAGGCCAGTCGCTTCAGCGACGTGCACATGGCCGAATTCAAGAAGATGGACTCGATTGCTGGTCACGCGTCGGCTTTCCGTGCCACCCCGGGACGCTTCCAGCCAGTGGTCAAGACACTCAAGAGAACCAACTCCAAGGCGCGTTTGGACGAATCGGACCGCAACTCCCCATCGCCATCCAAGATTGCACGTCCTTCACCTGCCATTGTTGCCCCTGCTAGCAACAAACGCGTCAAGCATGACAAAGCCGATGATGCATCGACGCGTCGTCCCACTGCAGCCAGTCCTCCTAAGCCTGTGCAACCCCGGCCCAGATCTACAGTGCGCAGCTCATTGATGACCCCGACGCGGTCCTCTGCGGCACGTGCTTCTTCCGTTACCGCAAGACCGCCTCGCACCTCGATGATCCCATCGCTCGTCCGGTCTCCTGCTGCGAAGCCGGCCGATGTGCCGCGCACGCCTCAGACAGAGTTCAACCCTCGGCTGAAGAGCAACTTGCCCACTTTAGGTAACCTGAAGTCGATCCTCCGCCGCCACCAGCCTTTGTTCTCCAAGGATCCTTCTAAAATTGCCGCGGGCACCCATGTGGCTGCTCCAGACTTTACCTCGAACCTGCTGTTCGGATCGCGAGGCACCACGGAGGAGCCTGCACAGACGCCGTCCCCCAAGAAGCGCGTGGAGTTCACTCCTAGTGTCAAGGCCCGCCACGAGGAGGTTATGTTCTCGCCGTCTCCATCGAAGGTTCCGGTTGCCAGTCCCTCGCGGACCATTTCCGACGTTGTCTATCCCACCCTGCCGGTGTTGACTCCAGAGCAGAAAAGGGTCAGCGCCAAGTCTCCTGCCCAAGCGACAACCCCGACCGTCCGCCATGTCCGCCCGTCAGATGTCCATGCCAATCCCCTGCCTGAGGTTGCAGGCGTGCCGCACGGAATCGGCCACAAGAAGAGGACCCGTGAGAGCGGAGAAGACAATAAAACTAATGATCTCCCTGAGGTCGCGGGTGTTCCGCACGGCATCGGCCAGAAGAAGAGAAACCGTGCTGCCCTTGAGGATGAGACTGATACCGAAAATGTGCCGCCTGTCGACTTGACCGCGGACGCGCGCAGTGCCAAGCGAAGGAAGATGACCTCGCCCTCTCCGCTCAAGGCACCCACTCTGAGTGCCCGCAAAGTTGCAGCCCCTAGCCCAACCAAAGCTGCGACTCCCAGCCCCACCAAGCCTCGCTCGCACACTCCTCTCCGGTCGGCCACGACCAGTCGCATGAGCACTCCGGGCATCAGCACCCCAGCCAGTGTGCGTGCGCGCAACCGGGGTGTGCTGAGTGTCAGCCGATTGAACATGCTGGCACAGCCGAAGAACCGTGGCTGATTTGAATGAGACTAACATTGATTGCATTTCTGAGCGTTGGACGCATGGTACTTACTGCGACATTTCTTGTTGATGCTTCTTTTCTTTGGCGGCTGCCGTGTATTTAGTGCTCCGGGTTGGTGTCTGCGGGACTTTGATTCTTGTGAAATTGTAGGCGCTGGGATGCATCCGGTATGCAAGGCGTTCATGATTTGATTGATTGCTGAATACAGAGATTGAGACTGTATTATATTCAATTTGGTAACCAGTTAGTTGATCAACCATACGATGATGTATGCGATAACACTAGTTCAGCAGCTTGTTCTTGTGTTGATACGCGGGAGTAGATTTAAAGGAAATTTGTGATAACGTTGCGTGCATTTGAGGCACTTATGGAGCAACGTATAACATACATAGCATCGATGATACAAAGTTACTGACACATTCCACGCTTGATGGGGTGGGAGTTATTTTAGGAAGGCAGCTTATCTGACAGATGAAACAGGTGATCCAATGGAATGCACCTTCGTCTTGCCTCTTATATCTTCCTCCATCATTGTCAGAGAATTCCACCTTTTCTTCCCCTTCAATATCTGCGTGTCAGATACGGTGACCAGTCAGCCATCACTATATCATCGAGCATTTTTGGAGATCTTTCAGCTCATCTATGATGCTTACGTTCGAGTCGATGATTTGTTCAGCACTAAGCACGCAAGTGCCTCACCATGCAATATGATTAGTTCGATCACCCGCGCAGGCGCCTGAGAGGTGGGGTTCCATGCAATGAGCAGATCCCTATCTTTCAGCTCTGCCAACTCAGCACAGAGAGGGCTCTTATTGAAGAATTGGAACAAACCTCCACCCCAGCCTCCTAAAACTGACTACTACGCTTGCTCTGCTTGTCACAGCTTGTTGCATTTTAAATCTTTGGGGTGATCCTTCCTCTCCGGAACTTTCCTATACGAGCTACCTCATCGAAGGGTCATCATGGACGAGAATGAGGGTGTGAGCCAGCCTGTTGTGGATGATGAGGTCAAAACGTGTACCTTGTGTTCGTGCCTTGAATTGGTTAGTCTATGTTCACACGATGAGCCCCGTCGTTTGATCAGTCAGACAAGTGAGCCTTCAGCTATGATAGATGTTCGATATACCCTCTTCCACCAGCAATGCGCTCAGTGCGATGGTATGCCCTATGCTTCGCTCTGTGAATTTTGCAAGCATCTTAGGCTGTGGCACCACGCACATGAAAGGATGTTTGTCAATTCCGTGTTTAGGCTAAACTTTGGGAGCGTTCAGGTCATACTGCAGCGGTCTAGAGATTGTGAACTTTGTCGCATTATTACCCAACTTATGGGCCTTGGAGGACGCAACCTAGCTTTAGATTGTTTCCTGGAAATTATTTACGGGGATTCATACAAGGATCCTGACTTTTTCATGAGAATCTACATCAAGGGTTTGTATAATAATTTTATCACGAATTTGAGCGTAGGCTAATCATGGTTGTAAGGCTACCCACGACTTCCATATCGCATTCTTGGTGGGAACGTTATTTCCCCCCAAGAGGGTAGTGAAAGTTCTACCAAACGAACACTATTGCAGCAGCCTATGGTGGACTGGAGCACAGTTCGCACCTGGTTGGGGATGTGTGACAAAGAGCATGACAGAAAGCTTGGATTTCCGTGTGATAATGGACCTCTAGAAACACCGCCCCTTGAATTTCGAGTTATTGACACCGAAAGAGGATGCGTAGTAAGGGCTCCTCCTGCCTGCAGATATGCTACCCTGAGCTACGTGTGGGGTAGCACTACCGACACATATGCATTGGCAACAACAAACACAATTCAAGCACTGGAAGAAGAAGGCTACCTCTTCAAAATTCCTTTACCGGCCACCATTAGGGACAGTATCCGTGCATGCATTGAATTGAAGATACGGTACCTCTGGATCGACAGACTGTGCATTGTGCAAGATGACAACATCACCGTGAAAGACTCACAGATTAATGCCATGGGTAATATCTACAGCCATTCTTATCTTACATTAGTGGATTTAGAAGGCCACAGTATGGATCACGGTCTTCCCGGGGTTACGCAAGCAAGAACATTAGAATATCAGACACATGGAATGAAACTGGGCGTCCTAGAGAATGGCATCTCTACGCTTGTCAGTTATGCAAAATGGGGAACCCGGGGCTGGACGTTTCAGGAGGCACTGCTATCGACAAGAGTGTTGTTGCTTGCAGATACAGGGGTATTATTTGAGTGCTCACGGGCTTCTCAGGAAGTCACAAGCTCTGGAGGGTCGAGGTCACTAAATTTAATGTTCAATTTAGCCCAGGATTACAGGAGCCTAGTGAGTGACTTTACTTCTAGGACTCTTACTTTTGATGCCGATGTTCTTAAGGCATTCTCTGGCATTATGCATTGGAAATATGGGTCGGAGCATTATTTTGGCGTACCATACTGTGAATTTGTGAAGGGTATGCTTTGGACTTCCGACACGGTCCATAAAGACAAGGTACTAGTGGCGAGGAGTGCAGAAACGGGTGATATATTTCCGACCTGGTCATGGTCTTCTATGGTGGGGCATGCTCGGTTGAATTCAGAGACAGATATCCATACATTACTGGGTGTGTGGGGCATCCCATCTTTCGAGACCAAGGAACTGGTGCACATGATTCGGCCTCATAACTCAGAACTGTCATGGGACAAGGCCGAGGACCGCTGCATGGTTCGAGGACTTGGTATTGTATTGGCGTGGAAAGAAGGTTGCTTCCCAGAGCCATCACCGCTCATGCTGAATGACAACACGACTTGGGAAGATTATAAGACCGTCATCAGGTCCAGATGGGCATCAGTTGATAAGCTTAACGAAGAAGCACTTGGGGTAGCAAACACTCGGGGAAAGGAAGATTTCGAAAGGATATTTCCCTCATCATACGTGGAACATGCCGATCAGCCAGGAGCATTGCTGGCACATACACAGTCACTCCGTGCTCGGATGGTCCAGCGGGGAGACACAAAGAACGACCCCATTGCATGGTCACCATATGTGCATGCAAGTTTGCATAGCCTGGGTGATGACAAGGTTGACGTGTGGATACGGTCTAACCCTGCCCATTGGCAATTCCTCGGCCATGATTACAGCAAGGATCACGATACCAAAATGGATGTGCTTGCTCTGTCGATGAATCATGGAAATTCCAGATGTGAATTTCCAGGTCGAGGCGAACAAAGTCAATGGTATGATTCCGAGGGAAATGGCCTCTTTGTACATGACCATGAGATTTTTGCGGTCAACGTATTGCTTGTCGAAACTCGAAATGGACTCAGTCGACGAGTGGGTATAGGTAAAGTTGAGCTTCATGACTGGATCGCTGCGTCACCCGGATTTCGGAATTTTACTCTGGTTTAGAATGTTTGGAGAGGTAGACTTTCAGCGAATGAGCTAGGTACGAGCTGAACTATCTGCTCTAATACAATGAATTGCATTGCTATTTCTTAGACAAATAGTAGGATCGTTACCATTCATTTTCAAGTTTACCCTGGGAGATGTTCGATCTCCAACGTAAGATAGTTTCTATCATCTTGTTTCCTGCAATCCCATGTCGTTACCAAGGGACTACAATGTCCAACTTCTGTCGAGGCATAAGAATCTGCCACTGCCTGAAAGCCAATAATTTCCCACCTAAGCCTGAACAAAAGAAATCATCTCTCCTCTCTGTATTATTTCAACGGCTGACTCAAAGAGAGATTGGGAAATAGCCAATTATTCTAAGCTATACTGCGCTTCGTAAGCAGTCAGACTAGATCTAACAATAAAAATGAATCCAGCCAAGAGAATTCAACCATAATACCTCAATCCTGCCGTCCCACAACTCTTCCAACGGATCTGCTTCCTTGAGTGCACAATGCTCATAGCATCATATGTAGATGCACACCATCTGATAAAACAGCCTGACTACCTTCAAGCAGAACTTGACTGAATGAGTATAAGTGATACAATCTCATGTATTTCGTTGTACTCCATAGCACCACCATCACTATCATTACGATCCACCTCTGACCCAACCCACCTTCACTTTTAGTCTTTGATGAATGATCCCTCACCATCCAAAATAACACTTCCCACTCCTTGAACATTACTCCCCCCAAATTCCAAGCACAAACCCTAAAATACCAAGGTGATCTGATCTATACCTCAATCCAACCAGAACCCCACTGGCTTATATAAGTTCTTCCAATGTGTGCTCACCTACACACACCATGAATATCCATCACATGATTTATAACATCTAATCTATCTGGAAAATATCATATCATCATACTCTCACCCCGAAATCCCATCCACTACCCAACTCACACAAAAAAAACAAACCCTAAACCCAAACTCAAAACCACTGAAGTAAGAACCTACTCCCAACATCCACCTCCACCTTCACCTCCACCTACTCACCTAGAAAATGTCGGTGAACACCAACCCAACTCAACCAGCCCAAGCCTAAATAGGTAAAGTGGGACAAGAAAACAAATCACTGATTATCATTCATGGAGAAATGAGGGGTAGTTAAAACCACTCACTCAGTCACTAGGTTAACTAGTATGTACTAATTACTACTTTACTCCGTGTTGGCCAGTGAGATCATCAATCATCGCTCGGAATTTTATGATTTATTTGATTGGTGGGGAGAAATGACTCACTCACCTTAGTAGTTATTTCTTAACGAACTGTGGGATTTTCGTGCCGGGTTGCCGGTTTATTTTCCCTGATTTACAGGATTCATAGTACGTAGTATGTATTTTACCGAGATTTGAAAAATTTTTATTTTATTTGATTTGGATTTAGCTATGTTAAAATATACTCAAGAAGGAAGAATGATATATTAACGCCGTCCCATGGATCGATCCCACCCACGGCAAAGTAAAAACGTAAAGATAATCAAAAGTGGGTATCGTATCGGGTATCTCCGCAAAGGCAACCAAACCACAACAACAACAACCACTACACAATGTTCGTAGTCAGTAGTAGTGTTGTCAGTACTGTACAAGAAAAAAGCAATCATCAGTTCATCAAACCATAATCATCAAAATCATCATCATCGTCATAGCAGCTTAGAAACTACTCCTACTATCCTGCTTCCCAAACGACTTGGTAAAGTCCAACGGACTTAATTCCCGCTCCGTGGCGGAGTTATTCGTTTGCGTCTCCCCACTCCACGACTGTGAGCCATTTGAATGTCCCGATGGCGGGAGATCCAGACTATGGCCATGATCTCGGTCTAAACTTCGGTCTCGACCGACCCCACTGCGTAAAATGTTGCCCGTCCCCGCACCACCGCTCTCGGAGTGCTCAAACATGGCAATGGAGAGTTCTTCCGAGTCCATGCGGGGCGGGGGCCGTCGACGGGGTGCGGCGCCGGCCGCGGCGTGGTTGAGATCAGAGGGGACGCGAGTGGCATCGACGAAGTCGGGGAAGTCATTGTTGAAATTATCGTGGACAATGTCGCCATTCCGGCATGGGATTGGCGGCGGGACCGTGACAGCCGCGGTGGCCGCATAGAGCGGCGAATCAGGTTTCCAGGTGAGGTTGTGGGCGCTGCGGACGAGCAGGACGAGTTTACCAAGGACGGCGAATTCGAGTTTAAGCTTGATGCTGTAGATGACGCCCTTGATCATGGTTTCGAGGATGTAGAGGTCGCGGTATTCGATGACGAGGAGGGCCAAGTCCAGAGCGATGATGATCAGATTGATGGCGACGAGCTGGTACATGATTTTGCGTTTTCCGCGGTCGGGATCGAGACGGAGCATGCGGATGGTTTCCCAGATGTAGAGGACGGAGAGGATGAATTCTTGCAGGCAGAAGCCGGTCATTTGGATCTTTTCCATGATGCTGTAGCCGTCGATGAAAATGGCTGGGTGGGAGGAGAGGTTGGAGCCGTAGGTTAGGACGGAGGTGGGGATATGCAGGAGGAAGGCGTTCACGATAATCATGGTGAGGACGCGGCGGAGGACTTTGGGGTTAGGGAGGACGAGGTGCAGTCGCGAGTAGAGCACGACGGATTGGCCGGTTACCATGGCGTACCAGCCGATGGTGATGAAGGTGATGGAGAGGGCTGTGGCGGAGGTGAGGGCGAAGTATTTGAGGAGGAAGCCGACGGAGTAGGGAATGAGGCCGAGAGCGGAGATGAGCAGGGACCAGAAGTAGGGACCGCGATACTGGGAGAAGGTCACGAAAACGAGGATGACCAGTTCAATGGCGTTATACCAGGATAGAGCGGCCATGGTAGCGATGACGATGCGCAGGGCCAGGCTGTCGCCTGAGTAGGGCCCAACCACGCCATTGCCGGGGGAGGCGGTAGGGCCGGTGATCATGATGCCATTGCAGAGAAGACGATATAAGATGGGAAGGAAGTAAAAGAGGAAGAGAAGAGAAGAGAAGAGAGAAAGAGGAAGTAGAGAAAGAGGAAGAAGAGGAGAGAGAGGAAGCGAGACTAAGCGAGTAAGAGGAAGGCTAGACGAGTGAGCGACTAACAAGAGGAAGAGGCAGACAGAGACAGCAGCAGCAGCAGCAGAGGCCGATGCAGGATCCGGGGCAGGCGGGCAATTACCCGACATGTAATGAATCAAGAATCATGACAGGTCGTCGGGCTCAGATCCTTGCCGTCTGGGGACACTCAAAGGCAGTCAGTGCCCGGCTGACGGGCGGGGGCCGGCGTGACGCGGTGCATTGTTATTTGCAGTTGCCCTTCGCCTGGTTTATTGGGCGGGGAGACTGTTCACTCTGTTGTCATTATTATTGTTCAGCTGAGCGTTTATCTGTTAGTTAGTTAATGTTGTGTTATGTTAAACTCTGAGATACTCCGTCCTGAGGTGGATCCTAACTCTGGTGGATGATCTCCCACATAGGGTTATGTTATGCCTGCTATACCTGCTCTCCTTTCCTTCCATATGAGATCATATAGGAGAAGAATAAAGGAGAAAAACAGTCCTTGCATCCCCACGTGCATCCCATTATTTTTATTTCGATCATTCATTCAGATTTATTTTTATCCCTCTGCTCCTGGTCTGAAGAGTTAATAATAACTCCAGGGGGCAGCAGCAGCAGCCACTGCCACACACAAGGCTAAACTTGCTTGCTGACCTGAGTTTCAGTCTAGTCGGCATTGGATTCCGATCATCACATTCCTTCCATCATCCATCATCACAAATCACTCATCAGAATTATTAACCGCAAAAATTAAGCAAGCAAAAAATAACTCCATCCCCCAAACTCCATCCCAGTATAGTTCTATCCCTCTATTCGATCATAACCATCATCATGAACTAAACATCATCCCCTCCCCTCCCCATTATTATTCCCATTTTCATCACCACCGAACGAAGCAACCACTCTATCCACCTCCCCCCTAACCTCCGGCATCGCTCCCCTCATCTCCCTCGCCAACACATCCCGGAAACTCCCAAACGCCTCCTTCTTCCCCCTCAGATCCTGGTTCCCGCGCTGGATCAACTCCACGAATTCTCTTGTGTAGATATCCGGATTCCTTGCTGCATCTACGTAGTCGATAATCTCAGGGGGAAGTTGGATGCTGTGAATGGGAGGGTCGTTGCTGTTTCCTGGTGATTGTGATTGTGCGTCGGGGTGATTATCAGAGGTGTGTGTGCTGAGGGTGGAGAGCGCGAGGGTGAGGTTTTTACTGAATGCATGACACGTAATCCGTTAGTAGAGTGGAATCTTAGGTGAGGAAGATGGCAGGGATAGAAAGGAGGGTACATTTTGCGAACGAGCTCTTGTTGGGTTTCGGGACCGAGGTAGCCGTGAACGGCGGATTGGATTTCGAAGAGGTGTTGGATTACGTCTTTGAGGTCGGCTGGGCACAAGACAGAGTTAGTAACTGATCATATTGAATTAGAGAAAATAAATACACACTGTCGACCGTGCTGAGGGGGATGGGAGCCATGATGTGCTGCTCTGAAACGTGAAGCTTGAAGCTGAGGCGGATTCTTGTTGGATGATGACGAGAGCAAAGAAGAGTCGAGTCCGGGGTAGACTAACCGTTTTGGGTAATACGATGCTTACATGGTTTGGATTTCCTACGGATCCCGCCGCTTTATGATTATGGCACCTGAGCACACCTCCGGGCCACACACTCGTTGCTCGCAGAGCATGCACTACATTATGCTCTGCTTTGGATGGTCGCGTCCCTAACTCTGCCAAATGGAGCTGTTACTAGATATCTTTGGGTACTAAGCCGATCAGGCTGATTCTGTACGTGACATGTAGAGCCCTACGTAGCATTTACAACAACGTAAGAACACGATACAGTTCTCTGGTCCAACCTTCTATTATCCTGATACTGATCCAGTATGGCAAATGTCGGATTATTATGAGCACATGCCCCTCTTTGTCGATGGCATGATGAAGTATATGGGACGAAATGAATTCAGAAATTCCTGTCCCCATTGGATAAGAATCGCAAGCCTGCGCGACAGCCCACGGGTGAGTCCATGCATCAGCTGGTCTAACACAGCAGGCCAGCGCTTCCCGCCGACCCGACCCGAGGGACATGGTCGTCTGTGCAGTCTGAATAGTCGTCAAGGTATTCACTGAGAAGGTTTACTAGGCAATACGGCGTTTGTTGAGCGAGCATACGTACCGTCAAAGGTGTCCATGTGAGACTTTCTTAGTTCAATAAAGGATAAACGGGTTAAAAGAAAGCATGCTAGCAGCTACCTTTCTGAGTATCCATATTCTATTGCTGTCACATGTTTGCTACTAAGCCTGATCAATGTCTTATTACACTTGCTTATGCCGATTGCTGAGTTGTGACTGACTGTACTTAAGAGAACCCAGAGAAAAGGAATATAGAAGATCTTAGCAACTATTCCATCCACCAGTGGGCCTCGGATATCTGTACATAAGTTGGCCACGTAGAGTAGAAGGATGAAAGACAACGAACGCGAGCCAAACGTCATCTCGTCTCACCGTGGACATCTACATTCATTATAGATGGTCCTGACCTCCAAAACACTCATAGCTTGTTTGGAAAAGCAACTATGCTATAATAACTGACATATAAGTCCTGCCGTCCACTCATATATACCATAATCAGTCGAACATGGTGGGTATAGAAGATTGATGCTGTGATTTACATGCATTTTCTGCAATATACTTCGATCAGCGAACAGGATACCTAAAGAACTCACCGTCAGTATCTACAGCTTTCAAGCTGAAAACAAGCAATTATCAAGGCTATGGCTTGATATACTTACCCGTACCTTGCTCTCTTCCATCGATGAATTACAATCATATCATCAATTATGTTGCAACTCCTTCTTCACAAGTCTATCTTACATACACAACTACAGTAACCATCGACAAGATGAAGGTATTGACTGTCCTTTGTGCAATGATCTTCGCTATCTTTGCGGTAGCAGGGCCCGCACAAGCCACTGGTCAAGACGAGAACACAATTGAAAAGAGACGAACTGTACGTCTAGTTCCAAGCTTGAGAAGTGACTTGATATCATAGGCTAACGGTAATGAAATGTGGATAGAGTGTACGCAGAATATCTGTACTGTCTGTCCGAGAGATAACTGGAGATTATAGATTGACAGTGATAGAATATGAATAGTGTGTATGTGAGTGACCCTTCCTGTCTAAGAGGAGTAACTAGAGAATGTCATCATCTTCGACGCGGTCGAGCTGTAGTTTCAAGCAGCCATAAGCGCTGAAGTCTCTGGACTAACCGGAAAATCAGTTCAGTGACCACGCCTAGCTCTTTCTTATATGTGACTTGTGCGGTCGACCTTACGCGAGTTATATGAATATCGACTGGATATACCGACCACCTCCCTCCACGGTGGAATTTCTATGCTAATCCGCTGGGCTGTACAGTATATTCGAACGTATAAGATGCGAGTGATCTATATAAGGCCGCAGTAATGGCTTATACCTTCGTTGAGGACTGTCGGGACACATATCTCTCCGTCGCCTGGCTGATATATCGTTTTAGGTCTGGCGGTTAGTGTGTTGACAAGTACTCCTAGGGGAGATTTCTAACTTATCTGCTTATTGATTTTGAAAAATGATACTCTTTATAATGGAATATTCTATAAGACTAAACGAATACCCAAGGGACCTTTCTCTAAGCAACCGTGGGCGTTGCGGCCGAGTAAGTCTGATTACGTCCGGATTGCAGCACACGCACCGACGCGCTCATGCCTTGATCCCAGCTGACCCCAAGCGAAAAGCGGCGCTACCTTAAGACCTATTCTGGAAACGGAAAGTCGACAGCGTTCCGCAGAAATCCTGTTTAGTAGAAGGTATACTTCGTTATTATACTCAATATAGTTCATAGAAACTATGATTCAATGCAATGCTCGCTCGCTGATACAAGTCTACCTATGTATACCAGATTACGCTCTATCTATATTCAACCCTCACATCTGCACTCAGCTATACTTCGCGCGTCCGCAGCGGCACCCGCGCCATCTCGATCTCCGTCTCCATCTCTAACCCCGACAGGCTTGGGAATCGCCGGCTAAAGTTGGCTTCCCAGTCATCGCCTGCCGTCGCCGGCGAGCTCACCGTCGGACTAGCGGGTTGGCTCTCCGTCCGCGTCTCAATACCCCCCACTCGGAGCCCCTTGGGCTTGGGTGGCAGAGCCGGTCGTGACGACCCGGTGCGCTGAGAGGCCGCATAGCCCGTCGAAGCCGTCTCCTGTCGAGGCAGTCCGCGCGATTCGTACCGCTCCTGCATCGATGACGTTGTCGTGCCGCTGACCCGCGATCCTCGCGTGTCCGGACGTGCCTCCGTGGGCTTTGCCTGCAAAGCGGCGCTTGACTCGTCCGTGTATCGCCCGTAGCCCGTCGCCGTTTTGGGCGGAACCGGTGGCCGGTTCGACTCGCTCAGCAGCGACTGCACCTTGCTCTGGATCGCCTGCGACCGGGACCCGTCGCCGCCCTTGAAGCCACCCGCTCCACCTTCGGCCACCCGCCGGCGGTACTCCTCTGCCGCCTTGGCTACGCGCTTCTCCTCCTGGGAGAGCCGCCGCCGCTCCAGCTCCCGTCGCATCTCCGGCGAAATGTCCTCGCTGTCCATCTCGATCAGTTCGCTGGCCGGCTCTGCCGTCACCTCCGGCGAAGGCAGTACGGGTTTGGGGAACTCTTCCGCCACTGGAGACTGTGCCTTGCTTTCTTGGTTACTATGTTCGAACCGCCGGAACGCATCGCCGAAACGTCCCGCAAATAGCGTCTTTGTGCCTGACAGGGACAGCGTCGACAAGCTCGACCGTTTCGTGTGCTTGGACGTGCCGCTATACCGCTTCTCGCGCTTCCGGCTGCTCTCCTCTTCGCGTGCGCGCAGATAGTCCACATCCGAGGAGATGTTGCGATCGTACAGCTGGTCTGTTTCGGTGCGCGCGTGTTGCAGCGGCGCGCCGCCTTCATAAGGGCTGCGTGGTAGGTCAAGGGAGGAGCGCGCGCTCTCCGACCCGCGAGGCAGCTCAAAACGTGCGCTAGCATGAACAGACACAGGCCGGGAGCGGCTGTTGGCTGACCGAGATCGGCCCACGGGCTCCTCCACATCCAAATTGGTAGGTCGGAGTCCGTCAAGCGACGGCCGTGGCGAAGCAGACAGATCGGAGACGCGGTCGTTCGAGACTCGCGGGTTGGGGAAGGACGAAGAGGTGGGTGACGGAGCTTTGCTTTGCCGAGCTGCTTTTTTGTCCGCCTCTGCCGGCCACGGTTGGCTGGATGGCCGACGCTGATGGTCGCTGGACGGGAACTTGTAGATGGGCCGGCTGGCTGGCTTGGAGTTCGGCACACCAGGCGTCGCCGGCGGGGAGGTCATGGTACCAGTCGAGACCATGGTGGGTTTCTGCGGCACAGGCTGGTACAAGGGAACCTGAGGCCGGGACTCCTCACGGTAAGTCTCGATCACCTCAGACGACTTGGTCTTGATCGGAGCCGGCTGGGGACGGCGCTGAATGGTCGGCTCCGAAGATGTCTTGGGAAGAGGATCGTTCTCTGCCGCGGGGCGTTTGGCGAACGCATCGTCTGCCAGAGCATTGGTAAGTCGTTGAGCCAGATCTTCGTCTTCCGTTTTCTCGGACACGGTGGGCTCAAAGTCGAACTTGCCCCCTTTCTCATGCAGGATCTGGAACTGATCCAGCGACGGGAACCGGTTCGAGAACTCATCCGCGGAATCCCGCTGTCGGTTTCCAGCATCCAAGACGGAAAATGGATCGCCAGATCCACGGAATGGTGACGGACTCGGCTTGGCCGAGTTGTGCTGGGACGGGGTTGGTCTGGTCGGGCGGCCGCGTCGCATGGGGGCAATCTCGGGAATGATTTGCGTCTCTTGCATTGGGGGAGAAAAGACGGCGCCCACCTGTGGTGTTTCTGTGGGGGAAGGCGGCAGCTCCTGGTAACGGCGGGCTTCCGACGTCGAGCGATTGGCATAGATCTATTCGTGTGAGTATCCGCATTGCGTCTGCAGGTACCTGACTTACGTCTCGGATCGGCACATCCTTGCCTTGCATGTGGCAGATCTCGCGCACCACTTCATAGATATTCGGGCGTTTTTGCGGGTGTTCTTTCAACATCCAGGCTGGGAGAGTCAGTACAATGCCTTTCTTTCGCGCAGAGGGTCTTACCAATCAGCATCTTTAAGCGGTCGGAGAAGGGTGGGTAGCTAGGGAATTTGTAGCTGGCATTCAAAATGGCCATCTGTCCCACCTCCTCAAACGGAGTCGTGTAGTAGCATAGTTTATATAGGAGGACTCCCAAAGCCCAGATGTCGCTCTTCTCGTCAATAGGCTGCTTCCGATAGACGTCGATCATCTCCGGACTGCGATACTGCAGCGTCGTATGGCGCTGCACGTCATCCTCAATCAGCCGGCCTTCAGCCGCCGAAGTGGCCGCGGGGCGCGGCGGCGCAGTAGACCCAAAGTCGCACAGCTTATAGAGCGTGGAGCTTCCGTGACGGGAGATCAGCACATTCTCGACTTTAAGATCCCGGTGCAACAGCGGAGGCTTGAGGTAGTGCATGCATGCGACACCCTCGGCCACGTCCGAAAAGATCCTGATAATCTCTGGCTCGGTCAACCGGTTCTGCAAGCGCGTGTTCATGAAGTCGATCAGTCCGCCGCCGGCGCAGAACTCCATGAGGAGAAAGACCTCGTATCCGCCGCCCTGCAGTTGCGATGCATGAGAGTCAATGTAGGTGACAATATGGCGGTGTCCCTTGAGCTTCTTCATCGTTTCGACCTCCGTGCGCATGTTGGCCAGGGCCGCCTTGTCGGGGACGGCCACGCGCTTCAGCACCGCACGATCGGAGCCATCGACGGGTTGAGGCAGGCGCACGACGTAGACGTGGGCGAAACCACCTTCGGAGAGGTATTTCTCAACCACGACCCGGTGGCTGCCCACCTGGACCTTGGTCCCGGGCAGAAAAGTACCGGCGGGGGCATTGATGGCGGCCATGGGGTTGTAGACGGGGATCGGGAGATGCGGAGCCGCCTGTGACTGGTAGGACATGGTGGATGGGACGGGCCCTCGAGGGGCACGAGAGCGATGGTCAACAAGGACAGGCTATAGCGGCATCAAAGGGAAACGCTGATTGCGCGAGAGAGTAAGAAATAGAGGTTGGCTGAGGCTGAAGCCGGGGCAGGACGGAGAGAAGGACAGTTGGCGGCGGGGAAGGGGGCGGTACCTGACAGGGCCAGGGGCAAGAAATGACGCCAACAGGGGGGTGGGAGAGGGGAGGAAGAGGAGGAAGGGAAGGAAGAGGGAATTTCTGGTAAACAAGTCGAGAGGATGGAGACAGCAGCCAGCAGAGCCGGATGGGATTAGACTGACCAGCAGCAGCAGCAACGCAGCAGGCGTCAGGACTGGAGACTGGAGACTTGAATGGATTGGATGGCGTCGGCCGGCTTCCGTTAAGCGTGGAGTCACCGCCTGGCAGTAAGTTTGGTGCAGCAAAAGGCTGAAACAAGGCGGATCTCGAATTTCAGGCTGACAGAAGTTGTTTTACTATAAAACTGGGGAGAGAGAGGCAGAAGTTTTGAGGCGTAAGTATCTCCCCTCTTTCCCTCTCCTTTCTATCTCCGCAACTGACTTAACGCATCCCGTGATCGCTTGGTGCCTGGAGATCACGGACGGACATCATCGTGATCATCCCGGCTGCAGGCGGTCAGAATCCGACCATATAAGTGACCGCGGCGGTCAGTTTAGCTTTACTATCTAATACGACTGGACGGAGGTATAATAGTGTTCAAGATGACTGGCAGTCATCCGTGAGGCCATCCGACCCTTTTGTTGCCTGAGGCATAAACTGGAGGAGATTTACACGTGATAATCATTAGTCATGAATTGAACCAACCAGCGAGTGCGGAGACGTTGACCAATCAGAAGACTGCCGGTTCCCCACGCGATGCTCCAAAACAGCGAAACCAAAACAAACACAAACACTCAATATTTAGTGATCCTGCAGAGATATAAGCAAATCGTGATCGCTATTATTGCAATCAGCGGATACAACAAGGAACCCATGGTAGTCTACCCAGTAGATAACTCTAAGCCCACCCGGCCAGGGTTCTAATTAAGGTTGTGAGATCCCAGCCGGGTTCGCGGCGGGTGCTTGTGCTCTATAGACTTCCGCTGGAATGTGGACGTGCCACTGCATTCATCACGACATTGTATAGCAGGCTGCACCGGAGCTCATTGGGAGTGCCGATAGAATTCCAGTAGCCCTCCAGAATGTAGTGTACAGCTGAAGCCGATCCCATCGGAATCCCCGTTTGACAAGGGATCGAATCAGAAACTGTCAATCGGTCGTGCTCAGCAACTGAAACCCAGCCATTGAGTGATCATCGTTTATCCCGATTTATTGTCAACTATTCCATCTCCTTCCACTGCCACATCAGCCAGGTTACACACACAGAATATCCCACCGCTTCAGCGGGTGAGCTTTATAGTATATACATAGTATATCTCATTTAACGCTGGTCGCCAGGGATCCGTTAGCGTTGCTGCGAGGATCACACAAACGGAGTCGATCCTGATTAGGCGTTCCTCTTGCCGCCAGCCGATCTCTCATCCCACGTCGCCTGTCTTCTCCGTCTTCTTTCTCCTCCCTCGCAATCATCGTGTCGCCTATTATTATTGTTTCCACCAGGTATGTGCTCTCACTGACGCTTGCTGAGCTATCTGACCTCCTATCTCGATCTAGACGCGCTGGATTCCAGCGCCTGCCTTGTCGTCTGATCATGTCGCCTCGATCGCAAATGCGCCTCCACTAGCCATCAACAAGCGATATATATATCATATAAACACCTATCGAAGCCTTATTTATTCTTAACGACCGCCTACCATGGACGACGGACCTCCTCCACCCCCTCCCCCTCACGGCGAGAAGCCACAAACCACCCAGGGCGAATATCGCAAGACTTCCGACCTCCCTCCTGGCAACTACGACATCTTTATCATCCCCCCTCACTCCGCCGGCTCCGGATTTCTCTACCTCCCTTCCCTCCAGCCACAACGCAACAGCTTCATCGCGGGGTCCGCCTGCACCCTCTTTGTCGTCCTACTTTGGACCCTCCTATCACCCCTTCTGAAAGCCTGGTACGCTGCCACCGTCGCCAGTGGCAGCGGCATGGCCATCGCCGTGCTGGCTATCGGAGTTGGGGTCGCCGGGTGGGCCGTGGGCGCCTCACAATCAGATTCTGGGGGAGGCCGACGACGGGCCAATTTTGGATTTAGCACCGGCGGGGGTCCAGGCGCGGGTGGACCCTCCGGCAATGGCGCCGGAGGTGAGTATGCGCGGGGACAGCAGTATGGGGCCCAAAACCAGGGCCCGAACGGTCACAATGGTGGACAGGGACAGGGACAGCAGCAATATGGGGGCAACTTCAACTCGGGTCCGCCTCCGGGTGCAGGCCAGTATGGCGGGAACCATCAATACCAGAATGCTGGTGGGCCCGGAAGTGGACCACCCCCGCAACCGCCGCCGCAGGCAGGCGGATCAAATAAGACAGGTTCGTCTGCCACCGGCTCTGAAAGCAAACCTCAAAGTGGAGCTGATTGGGAGAAGGCCCGTGAAGAGACCCGGCGCAAGGAGGAGCTGCGCCGCAAGATGGAGGAGTTTAAGCGAAAGCGGGAGGCCGAGCAGCGCGAGAAGCAGCAGAAGCGCGAGCGCGAGGCCATGGAGCGGGAGCTGCGGGAGCGCAGAGAGCAGCTCGAGAAGGAGATGGCTGCCGCCAAAGAGGCGGCCGCCCGTGAGGCCCGAGAACGGGCGGAGCGCGAAGCAGCCGAAGCCAAAGCCAAAGCGGAGCGAGAGGCCGCGGAAGCTCGAGCCAAGGCGGAACGAGAAGCAGCGGAAGCGCGTGCCAAGGCGGAGCGTGAAGCTGCGGAGGCCAAGGCTAAAGCGGAGAAAGAGGCCCGAGAGGCCCGCGAGCGAGAAGCACGTCGGGCAAAGGAAGCCCGAGAACGAGAGGCTCGACGCGCCGCCGAAGCCAAGGCCCGTGCTGAGCGCGAGGCCGCGGAGGCCAAGGCTAAAGCAGAGCGTGAAGCTGCTGAGGCAAAGGCGAAGGCAGAGAAGGAGGAAGAGGAGCGCAAAGCTGCAGCTAAGAAGGAAGCTGATGCTAAGTTTGCGGCGCTCAAAGAGGCTGCCGCGAAGAAGTATGCCGAGAAGAAAGCCAAAGATGCGCAGGAGGCAGCGGCCAAAGAAGCGGCCAGCCAAAAGGCATCTAGCACGTCCACTCCCCGCACTCCATCACCCAAGAAACCTGCTTATTCCCGCACCGATACCGACAGCTCATATTCCAATTTTCGACCCACTGACCGTCCCCGCCGGCCGTACGGCGGCGCCACCTCTGGGTCATCAGTGTACTCGGACTCTTCCTACGCGCCGTCACAGACAACAGCACGCACGACCCCACCACCATCAAATCGCGGGGCCTATGAAACCAAAGATCCTGATAAGATTGTCATCAAGGGCGTGTTCGAGTTCAACAACAACTTTGTGCGCAGCCCTGTGGCGCAACTTGTCTCCGGCCAGGGCATGGTCAGCGACGGATTGGTTCTGAGGATCACGACAGAAGGCCTCTTCATCGACGACGACGTGCGCGGTGTCGGTCAGCGCGAATGGGATGTGAAGGCGTGGACGATGAACCTCGTCGAGGTATGGTGTCCGAAATTCGGGGCGCAGCGCCAACCACCGAAGCCCCCGCCGGGGCCATTTAATCGGCGCGGGAATGAACCGACCCCAGAAGAATCGGAAGCATTCCTCGGCAACCTGCTCAAGATGTGCAAGAACACGTGCCGATTATCAACAGGCGGAGGAGATGATCAGCGCACGCTGCATGTGTTGCGGGCGTCGGTGCGCGACCACGAGGGCAAACGGTATGTGTTTGTGTTGCAGGAGACGGAGGGGTGGAAGGTGGCGATTGGGTTGCAGCGGTTGCGACGGGGGACGTTGTCGCGCGCATTAGGGGTGATGGGGTTGGGAGTGAATGAAAGTCGGATGATATTATCAGGATTAGGATATGAGTGATGATATCATCAGGATTAGGATATGAGTGATGATACCTTATGTATATACCAGCCAGCCAGTCTTTAGCACATAATTATCAAACTTTCCAGTTTACTTACTAGTATAGTAATAGTGGCGTTAGCCCTAAGCCAACATCACCGGAATGTGGCGTCCCCATCCACATCCATCTATTTACTCACCACGAAGATCAATAAAACTACACAGATACTAAACAAGATATATTCAATACATCATCCCAACCCCACAGCAAATGAGTGCAGGAAATTCCCCTTGGGAATAAACTTCCCCAGGGTCATGACGTCGGAACCAAACAACTCCCTTCCCCCCGCTTAACCCCAACCCAACCACCAACGCCAACATCAAACTCAGACAAAACCTGTCGCAACACCACCACCACTCATTCCCATGATTAAGGCAAATGGCTACAGCTACTGCAGACAACAACACCAATATGGAATGATACCAACAATACGAACTCAGCAAGGACAGGAGAATGTCCCTCTGGACAATCAGCCTCGTCACGCAGATCCTGTGCCTGGCGCTGGTAACGGCGTTTGTCGCGCTACGGGGGGTTGTCGCGTGGCGGTTCAAGAAGGGGGTTGATGTTGAGGATGGTATGTATCATCATACCTTTAAACCCTCTTGGATATATAATTTGAGATGTGTGGGCTAATTTGGGGTGTTAAACTAGGGTTTTGTTTTGTATCGCTGGTATACTATACTACCTACCCTAACCATTTATCTATCTATCCTGAGTTATAGAATGAGAGACTGATAAAGAGGGGTAGATATTCTTCGACGCATACTGTATATTAGTTCTTTTCTGTTCGCATATTCCCCTTCCCTTATATACTTACATATTATCTCGACATACTAATCAATGAATTGGAATAAATGAATAGACATCTTCAACAACGGCGCCGAACCCCCCTCAACCCTCACCACCTCGGAAGCGACACTCGTCTACAAGGTGCGCTTCCCCTATCCCCCATACAATAATAGTATTTCTATATTCCACCTGAAAGTTACTAATGAACTAAATGAACTAGATATTCTACACCCTAACAATCCTCTACCTCCCCATGACCCTCCTCGCCAAACTAACCCTCCTCACCATCCTGGCCCGCCTCTTCATCCTACGCCGCGGCCAGATCCTCACCGTGTACCTAACCATCATCATCACAACGCTCTACTACATCACCATCTTCTTCGTAAAAATCTTCATCTGCAATCCCGTCTCCACATTCTGGACCTCGCCCAACGATCCACACAACCCTAATTGTCTATCCGAAGGGGCGGTGTTTCTCGCCGACGCGATCATGAGCGTCATCACGGACTTGGCTATTTTGTTGTTGCCGATTGGGTTGATGTTTCCACTGCGATTAGCTGTGGTGAAGAAGGTGAAGGTGGGGGCGATGCTTGGGTGTGGTGGGTTGGCTGTTGGGTTTAGTATTTATCGGGTTGTGTTGGTGGTGGGGGAGGGGGAGCGGGGGTTGGGTGATAGTCAGGTTTATGCGAGGGTGTTGCTTTCTGGGTTAGTATTTCTTCGTGTGGTTGTTTGGAGGTGATTGCTAACTGGTATCTAGGAATGCGGAAGGAGGATTCGGGTTGATCTGTAGTTGTATACCGGCGCTGCATATTCTCGTGTCGAGGGTGAAGGGGAAGATGAGGAAAGGGTCGACGAGTACGGGGAAGGGATCTTCGACTGCTTCTGGGGATGGGAGTGGGGGGAAGAAGAGGGACCAGGGGACTTCGAGTACTAGTGGGGGCACTGCTGCGCCTATTGTCATTACGAGTTCGCCGGAGGATGTACTTCATGATCCTGGGGGGTTGCTTGCTTCGCTTGATGATGATGTGTATGATCATGATGAAGAGGAGGGACGGGGTGAGAAGAGTGACAATAGGGAGGAAGGGTAGATGTAAATAATTACAGTTGACTACTTAAGGCTTAAGGTTACTACTCAGTTATTAGGATCATCATACATTCATCCTATCCCAACTCATCAGTCATCCCAGGTATATAACGCCTCTGGCATCCGCCAGCATACTATCAATCAATAATCAATAAGACACTCCGTCCACAACGGATGAAGGAAAGAACCAAAGGAAAATAAGAAAATGAAGAAAAAAACCAGTCTATCGCCCAGTCTGTCATGCGGGTGGGAATCAGAGGAAAGGAAAATCGAACAAGAAAACAGCAGCAGCAGCAACACTTTTAGCATGCACGCTGTCTAAAAGGGAAATCCGCCGGGGAATCCTCCGCGCTGTCCTCCTGCGTGCGCAAACCCGCCGCCGCCGTTCATCATGTTGAACAGCACGCTGGGGTCGATGTTGATATGGGTTCCTCCCATACCTCCCATACCACCCATTCCGCCCATACCGCCCATACCGCCCATGCCTCCCATGCCGCCGAAGCCGCCGTGCGAGAACATGTCAGCTGGGTCCATCAGGTCATCGCCGTTGTCGTAGGCAGCACGTTTCCTATGCTTGGTTAGCGAAAGCCACTCATCACCACATCAAAGGATGAACTTACTGAGGATCACTCAAAGTCTCGTACGCCTCACCAATCTCCTTGAACTTCTCGTCACCCGCATCACCGTCCCGGTTCTTGTCCGGGTGGTACTGGATCGCCATCTTGCGGTACGCCTTCTTGATCTCTTGCTCGCCCGCGTCCTTGGACACTCCGAGGATCTTGTAGTAATCCTTGCGCTGCGCCTTCTTCAGCTCAAACTCGGCCCGACGGATTTCCTCTTGGATGCCCTTCTCGGTCGGGTTCGACTCCGCCACCGCCTTGTAGTCGCGCACAGCTTCTTCCCAATTGCCGGCACCGCCGTGCGCCTTGGCGCGCATCTTCTGCGCCTTGAGGTACCCGGGGTCCAGCCGCAGGGCCTCGTTGCAGTCTGCCACTGCGCTGTCGTACTCCTTCAGGTTGATGTAGGCCTGCGCCCGGTTCTGCAGGATCTTGGCGTTCTGGTCCTTGTTCTTCGGGTCCACCGTCAGCGCCTCACCCCACAGGTCGATGGCGCGACGATAGTCCTTGGCCTTGAATGCCGTGTTACCCTCTTCCTTGGTGCGCACCAGCTTCTGCACGGTCCGCAGCAGCTTGATCGCCGCCTTCATATCCGGATCCAGACCCAGACACATCTTCAGCAGCTTCAGCGCCTGCTCCGTGTCGCCCATACCGTAGAAGGCCCGGGCGCGGATCATCAGCGCATCAGGGTCCTGGCTGTTCACGCGGAGCATGCTGATAGCAATGTCCTGTGCCTTGCCGTACGAGTTGTCGTTGCCCATCTTCAACTGGGCCTCTGCAGTCATCAGCGTCCACTTGCGGGGCTCCTTGACGCCTTGTCCGAGGAGCTGACGGGCCTGGTCGAGGCAGAACAGCACCATTGAGACACCACGGTCCTGCGAAAGAGCCTCCTCCGCCTGGCTGACGAAGCGGAGCATCTTCTCTGCGGCCGCACGGTCAGTAGCGGAGGCCGGGGGCTCGATACGAGACAGCACGTCAAGAGCCTCCGTCGGACGGCCCAAGCTGGTCAGGATACGGGCCAACCGGTACATAATCTTAGTGTTGGTGGGGTCGAGCTCGCAGGCCCGTTCGCAGTCCTCCAGAGCAGCGAGATATTGGTTGGCCGCCATGTATGCTGCAGCCCGGTTGGACAGGTAGACGGACGAGTTGGGGCTAATCTCGAGAGCTGTACCATTGTTACTAACACTGCAGAAGATTGTCCGGCAGAATCAGGTATTAACCTACCCTTGGTGAATTCCTCAATGGCGCGGGCATAGTTGCCATCCTTGAAAAACTTGTTTCCAGCCAGCTTGAAGGAGTCGGCCTCAGCGGTGTTTCCATTGGACCGGTGAGGGGGCGGGGTCGGACTCTTCTCCGTGTGAGTGCCATTCACACCGTTGGTGGCAGAGGGAGAGCCGAGGCGGGGATCGTTGGTGTCAACGTCCATCGAGCTCCGGAGATCATCGCGAGCAGCAGCCATAGCGGAAAGACGACGTAGTTCGTCGGGATGAAGGTTAAGCGGGTGAAAGTTAGGGTCGTGCGAGTACCGATGGTGAACGGCAGACAGCGACGACGCGGACCGGGGGACGGACGAGGGTTTCGACCGGACCGAGGCTGATTTAGAGGGAGTGGAGGTGGAACGACTGTGCGCCGGCCGAGTAGGTTTTCGAGGAATGGAAGGGCGTTGAGTCGGAATAGGAAACGACTGCGGATGGTGAAGCGGAGGCGCAGGAGGAGAATGGGGGTGGCGAGAGGGAGCCGAATGAACGGTCTTTGCCCGGTGAGGAGGGGGCGGAGGTCGAGTCGGGAATGAGTCGTCGGTCTTGACTCTTGCGGATGGACGTGGGGGAGGAGGGGAACTCGCTGAAAATAAAGAAGAATAAGGAGGAGGGAGAGGAGAGGAAGGAGGAGGAGGAGGAGAAGAAGAAGCAGGAATCGAGCGAGTAGGAGGAGGAGCAGGAGCAGGAACAGTCGTCGGAGTAGATTTAGACTTGGAAGAAGAGGATTTGGAGGAAGAAGATTTGTGACGAGAGAAAAGATGCGGGAGCCCCATCGCCGCTGGGCTGACTTGATTGGTGGCGCCGATCGAAGGGCAGCGAAGGCGGTGGAATTTTGTTTTCTCTTGCGTTCTTTCTTCCTCGTCAGATCCGCTGGTTATCCCTCACGTCGCGCGGGTCTGCACTGGTTAATTTTATTATGATTATTAGTCGTGTCGGTGGACAGTCCGTGTTATGTTCACTATATCACTGGTTCTGTCGCTATCTGTCTCGCTCTCGGTACTGTCGTAATCCCGATTTGTCGCTGTTCGTCTCAGTCTCAAAACTCAAGCACTCATCATGTTCATGGCTTGTTCAGTGCAACTTCCGGAAAAGAATACCAGCGCGGAGTAGTATCAACTTTTAATGTCACCTCTTCACTGCTCGCGGATTGAACACAAAGCACGGCAAATAAAATAAATGTCACTAAACACACTCAAGTTAAAAGTCAACACTCAACAACACAGATGAATGAAAGTGATGTGAAGAAAAAGTTCAACGGCGCTGACCTCCATCTGTCACGCTGCTACTAATATTAATAGTCTCCATCCCAGACGGCTTCCCAGTCGCTCGAAAATTCGGAGGCTGGGTCACCGACCATCACTGGCTAGCGTCTTGCCTTCGTCATGCGAGTTGCCAACAGCAACACTACGCGCTGCCAATGATTCCCCTCCATCCTAAGCCTCTAGTCTGTCATGGCGGTCGCAGTTTGACAAGCTTTTTCTCTTTTTACTATGTGGCCTAGACTATCTTGACACTGCGGTTGGCTTATCGCTCCGTCCATCACCTTCTCTACCCAAAGCTGGGGCCACCCGCATGCTGGTGCGTCCAGTCCACGTTTACCCTAACTGCAGACGTGTAACATTGCTTTCCTTTCTCGCTGCCTCTCTGTTCTTCTCCTGCTCTCCCGCCTTCCATCTGCATCGATCCTGCCTCCCCACAGTGCTCCACTCTCTTAGGCCACGGCTGCTGTTCCCCTGTTACGACGAACGAACGCCTCCCAAAAGATGTCCCAGTTGCAACTCCGCCTCAGCTCTCTCGACAATCTTCGCGACCTCACTTTTAATCCGAGCCTGCTCTTCCGTACACAGCTGGATTCGTGGCGCGATCAGCGCCCCATGGTAGTCCAGTGAGATCCGCCGTAGTCTAGTCTGGATAATCCGCTCCACCTCAGCTTGCTGGCTGTCGAGTAGCTTCCCAAGCTCGTGCTTCGCATGCTCCATGCTGCCTCGCAGAACATCGTTGGCGTGGTCGTCTGCCATCTGTTGCATCAACGCCCTGATACGCTGTAAGCTTCCTCGTCCTGTCGTGACGAGCATGTTAGTATACTTCTCGACTAGTTGTGATAGAGTCTCACCTGTCTCGGAGGCACAGGCCTGGTAGGTTTCTTTCAGTCGCTCAGCGATCGCTTCGGCGAACGTTCGGTTGATACGCTTCTGTTCCTGCATGGTCATCTTTTCAGCCTGTCGAAACTGCTCTCCCATTGTCTGATGGCACGCGACGAGCGTGTCTTGCAGCCGGAGTCGGATCTCTTCAGGGACACCTTGCTTGACGGAATCAATTGCCTGTTTGTGGAATCGACTGACTGCGGCTTCCAAATTCTCCTTTAGATCAAGGAAGCAATGCGGAAGGAGCTCCGCGAATGTTCTGTTGCGCGTTAGACGGTCTCAGAGCATTCCCAGATAGCAAACACACCTCTTCCAGGATGAAGCTATCTTGTCAAGCATTGGTCGGGCCCTGCAAGCGATTAGGCCGGTTTGGAATCTTGCGAGGGAACCTTTGACTTACAAATCTTGATTCCAATCCTGGATGGCTGTCAGCTGTGTTTATTGCATCTGTATTATGGAGGGACTTACTGTGTCGTGAAATACTCCCCGACGGCGACAGATAGCCTTGTAGGTATTCCATCGAAGTCCCCCGGAACTTCCTGGGGCATTCCAGCGAGAGACAGCTTCGGGGAATTGGACAATCGCATGTCGCGACGCTCGGTCTGTACCATTAGCTCGGCTCGTAATTGCCACCAGAAGAACTTACTAAGCTTATTGAAGATGTTCCCCTGGAAAATTTCCCTGGCGACGCGGTTGAATCGGATCATATGCACCTCCGTATCCTGAAAGGTCAGAACTAAATTAAGGAAAGAGGTAGTGGACATACTTCTGTCAGTCCATCCAACACATGTTCAAAGTCGGCTTCAATCTCTTTGATTTTCTGCTCTGAGGCGTCGCCTGTTGCCGCGCTCACCAAACACCATAGCTTCAACGACTGCAAGACTTGGTTCAATTGGGTCAAGTACCTCCGAGACGATCCTTCTCTGGCCTTTTCGGTGAGCCTTACACAATGACGCTGTAGAAGCGGAATTTCAGTCTCCTCCAGTTCGGAGAAGCCACCAACGAGCTTTGCCATATCAGTCCGTCCCCGGAGACCTTGGTAAGCTCGGGTCGACACGCAAAACACAGGTAGGTTCCTCTCCAGCTCGTCATAATCACAAACCGTGGCCTGTACTGGGTTTTCGGCGTCATCATCCTCAAATTCCTGGTCTAGGCTCTGGATCTCCAAGGCAAAGTCGCGTTTAATCTGTTGTTTCGAAAACTTATTCCTCGCCTGTATGCAAGAATTTAGGACAGCGTGCTCCATTTGTTGCTTCCCGTCTTCTAGCTCTCTCAGCTCGTCCACTTTGCTGTCCATTTCCTCATTAATATGCTTTAACTGAGACCGTAAGTCTTTACGCTGAACTTTGAGAGCCAAGAATCGGTTCTTAAGCCTTTCTACTTCTGGAATCACGGTGGTGCCTTCCTCTTGGATGGTTGCCGTCTCAGAGGGCTCGCTTCCGTGTGGCTTCTTGCGTTTGGGAGTGATCTCCAACACATCACAGCCGAACTCATCGCCAGTAAGACGTTCTTCAAGTTCTTCAATTTCGGTCTCTACCCAGTCCAGCTGCGACATGATTGATCTCTTAGGCTTCTTGAAAGCGTCGATACCTTTCTTCAGCCATTCAACCCTATCCGGTAGCTGTTGAACCTGATTAAACGCTGGCAAGTCGAGGTTCAGAGACTGGATGACTTCAGTCGGGACGAGGTCGTCGGTCTTAGTACAAATGAATGTCATATCATTAAAGGCACAATCCATCTGCATTTGCAGCTTATAATTCTTCCCGAGCAGGTCACGCGCGACTTTATCATCAACAGCCCGGTTGATAGGAGCCACAATCCAATGAGCCGAACAGCGTCTCATGTAATCTTCGGCGACGGCAACTCGCGCTGAATTTGAGTCAAAGATGCCAGGAAGATCCACCAAAACCGCACCAGTCGCTAAGGCTGGGGCTTTGGTATAGATTCGCACAACACGCACAAGAGGCCAGAGTCCGATGCCCTGCTTGGCTGTGTCTGTGTCACTGGCAGAGTCTGGGTGTTCAGCAGCATCCTGACTTTTAGCAGACTTCTTGGGTCGGCCTCGTTTTCCCTTGCTGTCAATATAGGATTTCAGTCTGGTACGAAAACGCTTTGGGGTCATCTCCCTCGAAACCCATAGTAGTCCCCAAAAGATCAGTGACTCTCTCGCTGGCCATCAAGTTGGCGACGGAGGCGTTCAAGATGTCTTTGGGGTTCAGCATGGGGTAGACGGCCTTAATCTTGTCCAAGGCTACCGCTGCATCCGAATTCTTGGGGATTGCACCTCGAGTGACTTCTTCCTGGTGATCGAGAAGCTCTGCAAACAAAACTTCCAACTCACGTTCCCACTCACTATGCTTGATGAATTCGACTTCTGCTCTGTACTTCGTCGCTCCGTGGTTGTAGGAGATCTCCGTTGCGACAGCAGTAGAAGCACGCATGCAGTCGGTAGATAAGACATTTTTTTTCGTCAAGGATTGCATTGATGAGTGACGATTTGCCTGCGCCGGTGCTTCCGACTAGACCGATGATCACCTTCTCCGTACAGGCATATTTTTGAGTCCGCTCGATCTCAGCTTTCCAGTCTGTCTCGGTGCCAAAGGCATCCGATCCTGCAAAAATGGCAGACAGCTTCTTCAGCACATCAACTCCTTTAGCCACGGCGTTCTCCAAGGCAATGATATCTTGGTTTTCGGTATTCAGAGAAGGCTCCTCGCCCGGGTCCGTCATAGGGACGTCCTCGTCTAAAAGATCAGCCCCCGGTTCTGGTTTGTTCTGATCAACAAACATAGGATCGAAAACGACATCATTAGTATCAACCCCTTCTTTAATTTCAGAGTTTTGTGGGAAAGTCGATTCGTAGTCGATATTGTCAATCAAGGTTTTGAACTCGGCAACTGAATCCAGTCAGTCAACATGCAAATGAGACCAGATGAAAGCACACTCACAATCGACGCGGGAGGTCATTTCAGCGGTTCCCTGATCAATACCCGCATAATATTTCTCATACAAGCTTTTCAAGGAACCTTCATAGTCTGCGTATATCCAGTCCCAGCCTTTACTTTCAATATACTTGACACGGTCGATGTACAGCTCCCGCAACCTAGGGGTGATACAAGTCCAGATCGCCTTGAAGTCTGGACAAGCAGGTCCTTCGCTATGATTAGCTTCCTTATTTAACCAAAGGTATAATAATCACGAAGGAGCTGAAAAGAAACACTTACTACTATCCACCTGTCCCTCCCAACACCGCTCATGTCTCGCAGTCTGCTCAGTCACGAAATGCAACTCAGCAAATTGTTGAACATCCAACTCTGATTTCTGATTCTGAATTTCTTCCTTAGGAGGCCGGGACACCGACCTCGGTCTCGAGACAAGATCATGTTGCTCCATTGTCAAGTCTGCCCAGCAACCTCACTGCGAAACCTCAATGAAGTACTGCAACACAGCATACAAGAAGCACCAGAGAATGAAGACGGAGATTGCTATCAAGGAAATATAGAAGATCCAGGAGACGAGAAGTGAAAGGGAGCGGAACGCGGTTTTATGATAGTTAACATAGCTGAGAGAGGAGACGCGAATCTGTGGAGTGAATTGAGCGTGTTTGGGGAGCAGATTCTACTTATCCATGGTCATTCACTGGTTCTCTGCACAGAATCGCACTTGTTTCCATTTTGGAGTTTGCCATGGTGACCGGGAGTGGGGTGTTGTGTTGCTGGGTTAGTAGGAAGGGGAGAGAGATGATGGCTGAGGCTGTGATGAGGATTGGAAGGTGCGGGATTCGGTGGTTTGGTTGTGTTTGTGTGGTATCACATGATGGGGGATAGTGAGTAAGTGACTGGAGAGAGAGAGAGAGTAAGACCGAGGTATGATGAAACGAAGAGGACGAGGTAAGTGGTAAGAAACAAGGGAAAGGAGAAAATGGTCTATCACAAATTGGGTATCTCGAACGATGCAGAACTACCTAGTAAGCAGATAAAGGAGAGAAAGATGAGATAATGTACAGGATGAAAGACATCAAGAAACAGACAACCTAATAGTAATACACATGCACCCCCTAAACACCTTGGCTATGCGTGGTAATTGGTGACGCTACTAAGTTCGATCAAGGATTATGTTTAATTAGGATAGCCGGCCAGCAGCTGAGTATATCCGTTCCATCCCATTCCTGCAACTCCGCCTCTTCCTAACACACTAAACCAACATCCTCACCTCGACACAGCCCGGTTGGCCCTCCTCCTCGCCACCTCCGTCCACCGAGATCCGCACGAGCCTTCATTTTCACTGTCATCCGTGGGTAGCGGAGGCAAGGGCCGATCCAGGATGTGCCGCCCATATGGCGGGGGTACATCTCTTCTCTGGGCTAAAGCAGCAAGATGGACTTGGCCGTGAAACGAAGAAGGGCGGTAAGGCGCATAGTGAGCATCAGGGGTGGGTCTGGTGGTCACGGCGTAGTCGGGGCTGAGGTGTGGTGAAGGGCATGGGGAAGGTTTCAAGAACCACAGCTTCTCTTTTTCGAGCCAGACGAGACGGTTGCCTTCGGTGGTAATGGTGGTCGTCACGGCCTGAGTGGTGACCGTAGTCGTGGTAGTTGTGCTCAGCATGGGGATGGGCGATTGGTGAGGGGTAAGGTCTGAAACGCTTCGAGTTCGGGAGCTCCACGGGTGAAGGGAGAAGGAGGATGAAGGAGGGGGGGGAGGTAGGTTTAGTGTTGGTTGTGGCCTTGGTTGTTGTTGGTACTCATGCTCGTCGGCTGTGACCGGGGGCTGTGGGCTGTGGCAGCGTTGCCAGAGATTGAGGTTGGCTTCCGGCTCTTGCTGGAACAGCGCGAATGAGTATTCTGATTCAGACACGGGGCTGAAGATCGCGTCCGTCGAGCTTGGTCGAGGAGGGAGGTCATGAGGTGTTAATGGGCTGATCGGGCTGACTGGGGTGGACGTGTCCAGACGAATACTGGGGACATTCGCTCGTCGCGGTGAGACGGTGAACCGAGTGTCGACGATAGGCGGGCCTTCTAAGGATGAAAGGTCCATTGTGAAAATGTGAAAGATGGTATAAGGAGAAGATAAAAAGTGGAGGTAGGCCAAGCAATTATACGCAAATGTCATAGAAAGACCATTGCACGCGACCAATGTAGCCGATGGAAGGAATTAAAGTCGGTGTGGGAATGTATGATCGTCAAGAATCGAGGGAAAAGGTACTTGGAGGTCCCAAAGGGATGATCACAGTTCATATATCGGACAGTTGTTGATACTTGAGGCAGTGCTGGAACAATGTCCCCTGTGGAAAAGGGTGATGTTGTCTTCTGTCTGCACGGCTATGGCCGGTTTCTTTGACGGGCACAGCAACAAAGACACAATAATACGAGCCAACAACACCCATGACAGTCAGGAAATCGCCTTGCGCCTCACAGTGGATTCCTCCTCGTAGGTCGTTCCATCCTCCAAATAGTGGGTTGCAGCTGCGGAAAGGGCGCAAGCCCTGTTGGCAAAGCTTTCGGCTTGTCCGGCTGATGTTCGCCTTGGTTTAGGAGCGAACAAGGAAGCCAATCCGTCGGCTCATGTTAAACCCCGCCGTAGAAGGATCTCCCGATGTTCGATAGTTTCTTTTTTGCCCTTCGGGATGGGCCCGGAACTGGGGCAGAAGAAGGATTTGGGGTCCGAGACTGATGTGCTGTCATCGTAAACCATGAAGTTGTAGTTTCATCGTGGAAGCGACAATAAGCGCAGGTAGAAGCTCCTATGAGTTTAGACGCCATTTGGAGCGATTCCATGGGCCTGAGCGATATAGCATGTCCACAAGTGGAGGCTGCGCGATAATGGGGGCATTTGGTTCGTTGGTTGAAGGATTCCGAGTGAGGTTGGAAAACAACACTGCCACATCCTTTGTCGTCCGAGCTTTGGATGAGTCCAATTTAAAGGGGAGAAGTATTTTGCGTAGCACTAGGTGTTTTCCCTATTCGTAGCCTATATTGCATAGCAATTATCCATCGCGATAGCCATATGGTGACCTTAATCAAGTCAAACACAGGGAGGATGTTGCCGTTGTCAACCAAGTAACCGGCACGTGTTGTTTGTTGGTGGCCCCGGGGCTAAAGAGGATAGCGTCAAACCCGACCAGATCACGGATCTCCCAAACCCCCAAACACAGCCACACACACAATTATGAAATACTTACTACACACTGACAGCGTTTACAACTCAATGATCGTCAAATCCTTCCAGAATTGCCCGGTATAACCCCCCCAAAAGAAGTAATTAATATCGCACAAATAGGGCTGAGGGCGACACTCGGACTTTAAGCCAGAGAATATCTGAAACAGCCACCCAATCAATCGCCCGCACTGGCGAGACCAACATGATACACCGGTGGGCGCAGGCCAGCAACGAGACGATCCGCGAATTCGGATCACAGCCGGTCGCCGATAGATGAAAGAAAAGAAATTTTAATTCGAGGTCTTGAAACATTTACGCTGAAGCCCCCAAACTCATGCGGCCTCCCCGGATTCAGCCCTCCATTCAGCCTCCTGCTTACATGTTCACTGAGTTCTTCCAACCTGCCCCATGCCACCACGCGGGAATCACTTAGGGGATGGGTAGATCTATCCATTGAGATCCGGGCCGGCCCCTGTCGTCGGACATGCCCGATCGTCTGGCAGTTCTACAACAGGTGGATGGCGAGGTGATCTGGACCGGATGCGATTGAAAGCTCTAGCATGAGCACAAATTATAATGTATAAACTGCTTCGAATTGGGTATGTGAAAGCGTCATGGGTTACATTAATCGTATCCAGCCACCAACTGCTTCACAACAGGACTCCGAAGCAATCCTGGAAGCGTAAATATCTAGAAGGAAATTTCGAATAAAAAGTGGTATAAGAGAGGATATAAAAAGCAACGAATCGGATTTCTCTCCCCAAAAAGCAAAACCGCAACTAAGTATGGACCAATCCCCGACACTCTTCACCAATTCACATGCGCCCAAGATCCCCGCCTATAGCGGCAACCGGACTCACGAGTGACCCGGGGCTACTATAAACAAGAAGGGGAATCTAAGCCAGGAAGAAAGCAGCGGCGGCGGCGGCACCAGCGAAAGCGAAGCCGTTGCCGTTGACGGAGCTGGCGGCACCGGTGTAGAGAGCAGAAGAGGGGGAGGGGCTGTGCGTATTGTTAGTATGATTGTCTATTTATTGATTAGAGGAGTCAGGATACTCACGTAGCACTGCCGCTAGGGTAGCCAGAGCCGTAGGCAGCGGCACCGCTAGGGATGACAGGGGAGGAAGACTTGGCGGGCTTGCCGCTGGGGTAGCCAGAGCCGTAGGCACCGGCACCGGAGCCACCACCGATGGTGCTAGTGGACATGATGACGGTGGGAACGCAGGTGGTCACGGGGATAACGGTGACCTGGGGGGCAGCAGTGGTGCCAGCGCCACCACCGACGGCAGAAGCACCGGAGGGACCAGCGGCACCGCTGGGAGCAGGACCGGAGGGAGCGCCGCCAGAGGGAACAACACCAGCACCAGCACCACCAGCAGGGGAGCTGCCAGCAGCGGGGGTAGCGGAGGGAGCCTCAGGGACAGCGCTGGTAACACCAACGGGGGAGACACCCTCAGCGCCGCTAGTGGTGGCAGCAGCGACGGCCTCGGGGGTGGAGGTGGCGTGCAGGGTACCGGGGCAGTTGGTGACGGTGGGAGCGCAGGAGACGACGGTCACGTCCTCAGTGGAGTAGACAGTCTCGACATCCTGGGGGATGGCAGCAACAAGGCTGGCGAAGAGAGCGACGGTGGCAACAGAGAAACGCATCTTGAATGTTGTGTTGGGAAAGAATAAAACCGTCAAGGTCGATAAATTTGATTTTTATGTGTGAGTTGTTTTGTATGTGAAACACAGGGAGCTGCGTTTAGATAAAAGAGAGTGTGGCTAGTTGGGGTTTTGCTTGGGGGGTTTGGTTAAAAGAGTGGCTGACCGAAGTCAATGGGATGCTTCAAGCAGGCAAAGAAGTCTGGTCTTGAAAGAGAAAGAACAGAGAGAACCAGGAACGAGCTGGGAGGCAGAGGGGGGAACCGGGGGCCCTTTGTATGAGCCGGGAGATTAACCTGGAGATCGTCTCAGGGACGAAAAGGGGAGAGCGCAACTGCACGCGGGTGGAGTTGATGGCCCCCGAATCAATCAGAGCGCCGATGCGGTGTGAGAGCACCTTCATGGGCAAGTTTGGGGCAACCCGCGATGGCCCCTCTCACTTCTCACTTCTTTCGCTCGTTTTTTTTCGTTTTCGCGCCTCGTGGGTTCTGCGCCCGTCTCACCCACAGCTCTTGGTTGGTCCAACCAGCCCCTTCGCCAGTTTGACTAGACCAACTAGTGCCGCCAAGTGACTTTCGTCCCTGGCCCTGAATTACTGTCCATGCTGTCCAAGCTGTCCATGCGTTGCGAGACAAGTGCTGTTGATCGGTCGCTCCATTGCTCTTTTCGACCGGAAGAACAGTCGACTAACTCTTCGGCTCAGGGGGAGAGGGGGGAGTTAATGGGGTCGGTAGATACTTAGTTGGGTCATCGATGGTTCCCCTACTGGATTTTTAGGTTCGAACTTTTTTGGATTTCAAGCAATAGTAGATAGCAATTATTTACTTTGATGAACCGCGCGGGATTTCGTACCTGCATCAGTCAGGCACATCGTCCCGTCACTACAGAGTAGTACATCACCACTACTACTACTACTGGTACTTTACTTACTAGTACATACTTTAGTCTACCAGGCAGTAACATTCACCACTCGGTCCCAACGGTAAAAGCGGGATCAACTAAACTGACTACTTGTAACCCTTCCAAAAATTAGGATGTCATCATCATCCACCTCCCCCGATAATCAAAAGGAAATAAGTTCAGGGGGCAGAAACCTCGCTTTACTGAGCCACAGGACGTTGAATGCCAACTTAGACTTTGTTTCATGTTTCTCCCTGCTGTCCAATGAGTGTTGGGGTCAGTGGGGCCTGCAGGCTGTTCCTGATGCCGTTGGCCACTCATCGCTCTGGCCACTATCCCGCTGTGGCTCTCTCTTCCCCGCTTTTGACCCAATGGCTGGTTGGCTGCTGGACCCACTTGTGCCCCCTGTCTCTCTTTTTTCCCACCTGGAACTAATCTTGCCCTCGATACGTACCATTTTTATCTGGAGGTTTCATTAGTAGGGTCGCTTCGGATAGTGCTCATGGGTTCGATGGGCTCGTTTGTTGTTATTGCTATTGTTAAATGTTTGGGTGACAGGTGCAAGGGTCCCACAAAAAAGAAATTCCATGAGATAAGGGCGTAATAATAATAATAATATTAATATTAGTTCAAAAATAAAAATAAATGAGAGATTAAAATAAGGAACGAGCAGAGAACTGAAGGAAAACATGTCGGGTTCAACCGTCTCTCATTGTCAGAGGGCATTCGTCAGCGGAAAGCTTTCTTTCCCGTCGTTTGCGTGGATTGCAGCCGATCTACTACTGTAAGGTACAAAGAGTTTAGCGAATGGTGTTGTCACCCCACGCAGTATGACGCCTACTGTTCTACCACTTCTTCGAAGGAGTATCTATCTTTATCGATTATACCGACTATACCGACTATTTTGATACCAAGCAGAATATACCCTACAAGGCCGACAAGTCAGTACACACTCTCTCCTGCTAAATTAGGAAGTAAAATAGTTCTCGGCGCTTTTTGGCATCCCTGTCACTGCCGGTCTAGAAGCTCGTCCGACAGGTAAAATAATTCTTCCATACAGCTCCGGCCCCGTTCCTATTGGAATGGGGGCTTCATTTGCTAAGACCAGGCCTGGCTCGGCGCCACGGTCGCATTCATTAATTGCTTAATCAAAGCTTAGTGCGTGGTGACTAAACTGCTCTCCGACTAGTCTGATGTCGTACATTGTAGTCTAGCCATCATATGTTAGTTACTGATTGCAAAATGGTTCCTAATCGATATTATTGCGCGCAATTTCGAGCCATATGTCCTTCTTTGTGAAAACGGAAATTTGCGTATGCGTCAACTTTTGACGTGGTCCTCACGAGTCAGATTCGTGTCCCTTGTAGTCCGTTTATGGCGCAATAGCAAGCGCTGATCTTATTGGAAGAGCCAGAGGAGGACAGGAATTGAGTGTGCGCAAGACTGCATACAGTACAGTAAGTAGCTTAAGCGCCGAGAAAGACGGCGGATGACAATCATGTAGCAATCGGGAAGTGAACTACACCGGATGGATCTTCAAAGTCGGAATTTATGAATCAATTGCCGTGGATTCGATGGCATGAATAATAGGGCCAAATGCCAAGACTTGAATTATTGCCCAGTCTACCACTTGAGTGGTGAGTTGTAAGTATAACAAACGCGGAGGCTAGGGACTAAAATCTTTGTGTGCACATCATGACTACTATCAGCAATGAAACTATTGAAACCCTCTTCTTTCTATTAAAAGCTCAGACTTTTCTCTGCCATTGCATATATTTGGTTGATACTAACGTACTCAGAAACTAAGTAGTTTACAGTAGGTCTCCAGATTCCTTCCCACGGTAGTCCGGTGAGAACGGAGATTTCTGGTTTCTTTTTTTAGGGCGCTCTCGTGACGAACTGCGAAAAGGGGGATCTGTCAGGGTTTATGCCCAGT